CCTCCCCTCCCACCACTGCCACCTGCACGGCCACAGGGGAGGGGCATGAGGGAGCGTCGGTGTTGACCCCCACGCCCCTCCCCTCCACCTGCAATGGCCCACAGAGAAATAGTGAGTGACTGGAGGAGAGGCGAGGGGGGGTGAAGGAGGAGATGCGCGATCAGAAGAAGCAGAGGGGAAGGGGCCACTGGCGCAACCTCAGTTACAAGCCACAGACCCAAGGGGGAAATATACCTAGGAAGGCCTAACCTGAGAGTATACCTGCTGTACCAGGGGGGATCTACCTTAGAAAAAACGGGTCTGTGGCTTGAAGCTTTGGCTGAACCAGAGGCTTGCGTTTGAAGCGAGAAGAAACAGGAGATGCAGCAAAGAACACAAGAGAGAATGGGAGTAGAGAGGCAGGGCAGGAACTTAGCTGCTGGTGGGTTGGGTGGAGAGCAGCTGCTGCCTGTGCACTCCATGTCCCCCGCCACTGCCACTTCCGTGTGAGCGACCTGCTGGGACGAGAGGGGGCAGGTCGGAACAGAGAGAGGAAGGGAGGAGGGGGGGGAGAAAAGGGAGGAAGTGAAGGGGGCGCGGAGGAGTGGGGAGAGCAGTGAGGAAAAAAGCCAAGACAAGTGAAAGTGAAAAGTGCAGCTAGCGTAAGCATGATGCGTGCATGAATGGACTGCTGCAGTGACAAACCCAAGAGACCTCGTACCAGCTGAACCAAACAAAAACAAATACCTGAGGCTGTACCAAGAAAAGATACCTACTACCTTGGGGGGAGGAGGTCTAATGGGTGTGACAAAGCGCAGTTAAAAGTGGAGTGAAATGCATGGTGCAAGCATGGCAAGCAAAGCAACACAGTGCGAGGGTTGGGAGAAGAGAGGAAGGGCGGGGTACTTAGCTGTGGGTGAGTTGGGTGGAGAGCAGCTGCTGCCTGTGCACTCCATGTCCCCCGCCACTGCACTCCCGTGTGAGCGACCTGCTGGGACGAGAGGGGGCAGGTAAGGACAGAGAGAGGAAGGGAGGAGGGGAAAAGGAAAATGGGGCAGAGGAGTGGAGCGAGCAGTGAGGAAAGAAGCAAAGAGTGAAGTGAGAGGGAGGAGTGCAGCAAGTGCAAGTGCATGAATGGACTGCTGCAGTGGCACACCCAAGAGACCTCGTACCAGCTGAACCAAACTAAAACAAATACCTGAGGCTGTACCAAGAAAAAAAGATACCTACAAATACCTTGGGGGAGGGAGGTCTAATGGGTGTGACAAAGAGCAGTGAAAAAGGGAGTGTAATGCATGGTGCAAGCATGACAAGCAAAGCAACACAGCGCGAGGGTTGGGAGAAGAGAGAAAGGGCGGGGTACTTAGCTGTGGGTGAGTTGGGTGGAGAGCAGCTGCTGCCTGTGCACTCCATGTCCCCCGCCACTGCCACTCCCGTGTGAGCGACCTGCTGGGACCAGAAGGGGGCAGATCGGGACAGAGAGAGGAAGGGAGGAAGGGGGGAAGGAAACGGGGGAGTGAAGGAGTGAAGCCGAGAGGAGTGAAGTGAGAGCAAAGAGTGCAGCGAGTGCAATAATGATGCGTGCATGAATGGACTGCTGCAGTGGCACACCCAAGAGACCTCGTACCAGCTGAACCAAAAGAAAAAGAAGACCTGAGGCTGTACCAACAAAACAAAATGCCTGCTACCTTGGGGGAGGGAGGTCTGATGGGTGTGACAGAGAGCGGTGGAAAATGGAGCGCGACGTATGATGGACGCACGACATGAAAGCAACAGAGTGGAGGGAGGAGAACGCACTTAGCTGGTGGTTGAAAAAGCACCGAGAGAGCTGCTGCTGCGGCCGCAGCTGCTGAGACCATTTCGCCATGCGACGACGCGCGGACGACGATTTCACCATGCGACGACGCGCGGACGACGATTTCGCCATGCGATGGCGCGCGGACGACGATTTCGTCGTGCGACGGCGCGTGGACGATTTCGATCGCGTATCCAGTCGCATCTGAACCCAGCAATAACGGGAAAGAGACGGTTTAGGGATATCGGGCAGCAAAAACGACGCAGCAACGCAGCACAATCGACGAGTCGTAGGGGACGAGAAAAGCGGTTGTGGAGACTCAGAGGAGCAATAGGGAAGGCAGTCGTAAAAACGTCTCAATAATCGTGAGTCGTACCGAATCACTTGCGGAAATCGTTGGGACGCGCGCAACCAGAGGCCGGAGGACGGACAAAGCAAGGAACGGTGTTCGTAGGAACGAAAAAACGCGTCGCCGCGACGGGAGGATCTGGCGAGGGCGAACCGGGAACAGCAAGTGCAAATCGAGAGAGGATCATCTGAAATGTGCGACAGCGAAACGTGGAATCTGATCGACAATGAAACCTCGCGGCGAAAAACAATCATTCGGAAGACCGCATTGGAAGACTAACCTTGTCGGACGAACTATTCGGACATTAAGGGCGTATCCAGGTTCGGGTCATGAGCACTGTTCCGGGCATGCGCGATTTGCGGATGACCCAAACAACATAGAACGCATGTTTGGGTCATGCGACCCCCATATTGCCGCGAGGGTTTTCGCGCCAAAATCCAGCTCACAACAACAGTCGCATCCAATGGAGGGATGCCAGAACATTTCGAAAGGTCATTAGCGAGACCCACACAAAACCACGTGACACTCACTGAGAAAACACAACCCCCAAAATTCCCGGAGCAAATTCCCAAATGTTGGGAGCGCGACGCGAGAAATTTTAGACACACTCGGGGTCAATTTGCCGAGTGGTTGGGTGCAGAGGTGTCAGGCGTGGGAAATTACCCACGTGTGACACTCGACTGCCGATCGACAAAAAGTTGGCAGTAACACCACAATCGTGCAACCAGGTGATTGGCTGTGGGTGGGTCGTGCACGTCAGTCGCACAACACCTACACATTGACCCAAAGCCGGGGCCGCGCGCGGCTCGGCAGCCCACTTCGGGTCATGCGCAAATTCCGCATGACCCGAACAGTGCTCATGACCCGAACCTGGATTCGCCCTAATGCTTCATCGCCGTCCCGCACGGAGAAGACGAAACCCCGCCGGAAACGCTACACTAGAGAAAGCCGTCCACGAGAGAACAGATTCTCGCGAGGAATACAAAAATCATCGCCATTGAGAACGTGACTGGCGACGAGAACTACTCGCGCGAGCAAGAAGAAAACGCGGTTAGAGGTGAGAGTGAGTGGAGAGCAAGGCGAGTAGGGCAAGTGGAGAGGATAGGAGCTGGAAAATGAGATAGAGCAGAAAGTGATGGGGAGTGGTGGGTGGCGAGATCACCAGTTTGGGATTCGTCTGCAAATGGGTTCGGGAGTCCGGACAATAGTTGGCTATGTTGCGCACGGTTGAGATGGTTGCAAAGTGGTAGTATTCTGCTGTGTGTCTGGCTGCTCCCAGTTTCTGCTGGCTCATCAGGGAAATGGTTCAGCTCACCCCCAGAGTTGTCCCAACCAATCCCAAGGAGGCCCAAGCGGCGGAGGGGGAAGGCCCGCCGACAAGATTCGCCCGCGAATTTCCGCGAGCGCGTATGATTTCCAACAAACGGCCAACTGACGAAAAGCGGGTGCGACAAGCGAATAGGCTCTGGCGACGTGAGGGCTGTTTCGCTTGTGTGTACCAAGCAGTCTTTCTCTCTGACGATAAACTGTTGCGACATCGTGAGTGTCGTCACGAACGTCGAGGCTAGCGGTTCCGGCAAGGAAATGCTTGAATATCCGCGGGCTTGTCAATGCGCTCCCCCAAAAAGCCTAACACACCACTGAGAGGGCGCAGAGTCGGGAGTTTTGCGGAGCGCAGCCTCAGAAGGCGGGGCTGCTTCCCCAACGGGCTGGCTCCGGACGGCGGAATTTGAGGGCTGTTGGCGAGATGGCGAACTCATCGTTGGAAGGGCGAACTTGGCACGTCTGACCTGGAGGCGTGGAGCTTTGATTCAGTACAGTATTTAGAAATTCACCAAACCCAACCTGCCTTTGCAGAGCAAACAAGGCATGTGATTCGATGAGGGGGTTTCGCGAGATTGAAATCGAGGATATTCATGGCGAGTACTTCATTGTTACGTGGTTGGTTCATTTCCAGTGTTGCGCCATCTGAAGGCCCAATCACAAGCATGCTACTGCTCGCCCTTGACCAATTATGTGGCCCCTTACGAATCCTGGCTGTCAAGTCAGGTGAGACTTGAATTTCCGATTCTTCGTAGCTAAAATCCACATTCGAGCACTGAAGACCACCTCAAAGATATAGTTTCGTTGCAATACTCGGTGTGACTCATTTGATTAGCTAAAATACGGGAATTTTGACGCTCATGTTGCACGGAAAGTGTGAGGTCTCCTGACATTTTCAAGAGCTCAGTGAGCAAAAATCTGTGCAACCGTACACCTTGGGATCTCCTACCTCCCAGCATATAGGAGTATTTGTCACGACATTGCCTAGGTTTCCGCCTTCCCCCTCTGCTCAACACTCTCTACTACCACAGTTGCAGAGTAGAGTGTTGGCTAGCTTTCCTCTGGCTAGCCATATGTTTTTCCACTTTCCATGAGTAGTGATGCGGTCGTGAAACTCAGGTCGAAGACAGACTGTCGGAGCTCTGTTAGTTTGTGGTGCGTGTTTGGACTGATCAGTGAAGCCCACTGGAAGCCGTTTTTTTCCCGCTTTCCTTAACGGAGGTTCGTTAGGGATCCGTCAGAATGCCTCACGCCGCGCTGTCCGTCAGTCGACGGAGGCTAGCATCTCTCACGGCCTCGCGTCTCGCTCTTCCTGCTTTTCGCCTCGCTGAACCCCTTACTTTCTTACCTCAGGGCCATTCTGACTCGTTACCGATTGAAACCGCTCGTCATCTACACACTTCCGCCGTTGCAACCCGCGTTTCGTCGTCTGATGCTCTCGGTAAACCACAGCGTCCCAAGCTCGGACACGGTGGTCATTTATGCCAACCAGGATCAAATCTGCGATGCAGAGGACCCATTGCTCTCTCACACGACCCCGTCGCAGTTAGTCGCATGCATTTCGCCCAAGGCATCGCACGCGTCGCACAGCTCCATCAACAGGCGGGATCTGAGATCGCGCAGCGTGCGAAATCAGCAGACGCGCAGCTAGCGACATCGGCAGATCCGATCTCTGAGCAGGCTGGCGGCGAATCGGCAGTGGAAGAGGTCGGCGCGACGACCGTATTTCACGGCGATAATGACGGCGAAAATCGCGGCGAGATCCATCGTAGTAGCCACAGCGACAGTATCGGCGAGCAACGCGCCGGTTCCAACCCTTCGTCGGCGTCGCTGGGGGCGAGCGAAGCGGCGGTGGACGTTGGACGAGAGGCTGAAGGAGAGATGGGCCATCCGACGGTAGATTCGGGCAATCCGACGGTGCAGATGGACCGTCTGGCGATGGACATTGGGCATCCGTCGCAGCGGTCGCTGGACGAGAGGCTGAAGGAGGGCGATGTGGAGGCTCTCGAGGTGAGGCTGGGGAGGTGAGGCGGGGAGGTGAGGCTGGGGAGGTGAGGCTGGGGAGGTGAGGCTGGGGAGGTGAGGCTGGGGAGGTGAGGCTGGGGAGGTGAGGCTGGGGAGGTGAGGCTGGGGAGGTGAGGCTGGGGAGGTGAGGCTGGGGAGGTGAGGCGGGGAGGTGAGGCTGGGGAGGTGAGGCTGGGGAGGTGAGGTGAATATTCCTGGTGCGTGGGTGATAGCGGATATCAGGAAGGGGTTCTCAAGCGTCTCATGAATACCCTTTTCCGTTGATTCCCCCTTCCCCAATCCCTTTCCTCGCCCTCTTCCCCTCCTGCCCGCCTCCCCATTTCTCTACTCCCTCTCCTCCCCCGTTTTTCCGCGCGCAGATTCCGATGGAGTCGCGGCGCGCGTTCGAGGAGGCGTGGCAGGGGGTGATAGCGGCGGGCGGCGAGGAGAAACTGTCGCCGCCCAAGGAGATCGTGTGGCTCAACGGCGCGCCCGGCGCGGGGAAGGGCGCCAACACGCCCTTCATCCTCCGCACGCGCGGATTCGAAGGTAGGGGGGTGCTCTGGACTGGAGAGGGTGGCCTGACGGGGAGTGGGTGGTCTGAAGGGGAGTGGGTATTCGTGCCTCTGTCTGTCGGCCTCACTCACTCACTCCCTCCTTCACTCTCGCACACTGATTCACACCTTCACCCACCCACTGTGTCCGTGCAGCGCGTGCCATCCAAGGGATGATCCCTCCCTTACCCACTCACTCCCTCACTCCCTCCCTGCAGCGCGCGCCATACAAGTGAGCGACCTGTTGGGCGGCAATGAGGACGTGGCGGCCATCATGAGAAGTGGCGGGCTCGTCTCCGACTCCATGGTGCTGCAGATCGTGCTGCAGGTGAGCCGTCAGGTGCCCCAAGTGAATTGTCAGGTGGTTCAGGTGAATCACCATGACGAGCGGCCGGCTCGTCTTTGACTCCATGGTGGTGCGGAGAAGGATACCTCAGGTACCTCAGGCGAATCCTTGCGCTGGGCAACACGCTCATTATGCTGCAAGACGCGAATCAAAGTCCAATCCTAAAAGCTCACCCTCTCCCCCTCTTACCTCTCCCCTTCCTTCCCCCCATCAGCGCATCCTCACGCTCGGCAACACGCCAGCCATGCTACAGGACGCGGATCACAGCGAGGTGGTGGCGAATCCTCACCTCCCCCCCTTTTTCCTCTCTCCTCAGCATCCTCACCCTCGCTCCCTCGTCTCTCTCCCTCCACCCTCCCATCAGCGAATCCTAACTCTCGGCAACACGCCAGCCATGCTACAGGACGCGGATCACGGTGAGGTGGTGGCGAATCCTGTTTCCCTCTACACTCTTTCCCAACCCAACCCCCCATCAGCGAATCCTAACTCTCGGCAACACGCCAGCCATGCTACAGGACGCGGATCACGGCGAGGTGGTGGCGAATCCCGAGGCGGGCGGCAAAGTGGCCGGCGCTGTGGTGGACGGGTTTCCACGCACCACCGTGCAGGTGGACTTCATCAAGATGCTCTATGACAGGTGCGGAGCGGTGCAGCGCGGTGCACAGTGGTGCATTGCAACGTGGCATCAGGTGCAGTGTGGTGCAAAGTGGCGTTAGGTGCAGTCCAAAGTGGCGGGCGCTGTGGTGGACGGGTTTCCACGCACCTCCGTGCAGGTCGACTTCATCAAGATGCTCTATGACAGGTGCGTTGAGGTGCAGTGCGGTGCAAAGCGATAGCAGTGTGGTGCAGGTGTGGTCTTTGGCACCTGAAAAGTGGTAGACAGCTTTCAACGCACCACCGTGCAGGTGGACTTCATCAAGATGCTCTACGACAGGTGCGGTGCGATGCAAAGTGGTGCAATGCGATGCAGGTGTGCTCTGTGACAAAGTGTGGTTTGGTAGGTTTGGTCTGGTTCGGCACAGGTGTGGTCAATCTGTGCTCTGCTCTGCAACAGGTCTATGCTTAATGACATGTGAGTTTTTAGGCGACTTATAAGATGTTTCTCTGCACGCCCCTGGAAGCACAACTCCCTTCCCCAATCCAGTGCTTGGCTTGGCTTGCTGGATGTGAGATGCCTTCTCACTCACAGCTTCTCTCCTCTCGATTCCCCCTCTTTCCTCTCCCTATCTCTCCCTCCCTCGCCCCTTCGCCCATCACCCAGGTTAATGGAGCTGCATCACAAGTATCTCAACACGCCCCTGGAAGCACAGTTTCCCCGACCCATCTTCCGTATCGCCGTCCTGTAAGCCTATTGACTCTCCTTCACTGTCTGGAAAAGGTACCTGAGCTCGCAATTGAGTGCTAAGGCATGTTCAGTCGCCGCCATTCCTCGCGTCCACCTGTCTTCTTCCATAGGATAATCCCTCTTCCCTCCCCTCTCAGCTCCCCTCCCCCTCACCCTCTCCTACAGGTATGTGGAGGAGGAGGAGAGTGTGAGGCGGCAGCTGGCACGGGGCAGGGCAGAACAGCTTATAATATGTCCCCCTGTCCCGTTCCCTTCCGTCCTTCCCTTCACGCCGCATCCTGTTATCATGGCAGGTACGTGGAGGAGGAGGAGAGTGTGAGGCGGCAGCTGGCACGGGGCAGGGCGGCCATTCAGCACAACCAGCGGGTGGTGGACAGCGGGATAGGGGAGCTGCAGGAAGTGCGGGCGACTGACTTGTGGTGAGTGATTCAGTTCAGAATTTCGATGCATCCATGCCTTGCCCTTGCAGTGAGAAGCCGGCACGTCGCCGTTACCACATATTCCGGCAGCACTTCCACACGCTGCTGCTGTCCTTCCCGTGTCAATGAGTTCTCTCTCCCATCTCTCCCTGCCCTCCCTCCTCTCACCGGCCCCCACAGTGAGAAGTCAGCCCGCCGCCGCTACCACATATTCCGGCAGCACTACGACACTCTGCTGCGCCTCAAGGCCTTCTTCCCCTTCCACCTCATTGATGGCATGGGGACGCTGGCTGAGTGCAGAGAGCAGGTGCGCATGTGAGGGCGTGTGAGGGCATGTGAGGGCAGGTGCGTATGTGAGGGCAATTGGGAGGGTAGGTATGGGGTGCTCTGCTGCGCCTCAAGGCCTTCTTCCCCTTCCACCTCATTGACGGCATGGGCACACTGGCAGAGTGCAGGGAGCAGGTGAGCAGATAAGGTAGGTGGAAGGTGGGAGGTGGAAGGGAGGCATGGGCATGGGCATGGGCATGGGCATGGGCATGGGCATGGGCATGGGCATGGGCATGGGCATGGGCATGGGCATGGGCATGGGCATGGGCATGGGCATGGGCATGGGCATGGGCATGGGCATGGGCATGGGCATGGGCATGGGCATGGGCATGGGCATGGGCATAGGGCATGGGCATGGGCATGGCATGGGCATGGGCATGGGCATGGGCATGGGCATGGGCATGGGCATGGGCATGGGCATGGGCATGGGCATGGGCATGGGCATGGGCATGGGCATGGGCATGGGCATGGGCATGGGCATGGCATGGGCATGGGCATGGGCATGGGCATGTGGGCATGGGCATGGGCATGGGCATGGGCATGGGCATGGGCATGGGCATGGGCATGGGCATGGGCATGGGCATGGGCATGGGCATGGGCATGGGCATGGGCATGGGCATGGGCATGGGCATGGGCATGGGCATGGGCATGGGCATGGGCATGGGCATGGGCATGGGCATGGGCATGGGCATGGGCATGGGCATGGGCATGGGCATGGGCATGGGCATGGGCATGGGCATGGGCATGGGCATGGGCATGGGCATGGGCATGGGCATGGGCATGGGCATGGGCATGGGCATGGGCATGGGCATGGGCATGGGCATGGGCATGGGCATGGGCATGGGCATGGGCATGGGCATGGGCATGGGCATGGGCATGGGCATGGGCATGGGCATGGGCATGGGCATGGGCATGGGCATGGGCATGGGCATGGGCATGGGCATGGGCATGGGCATGGGCATGGGCATGGGCATGGGCATGGGCATGGGCATGGGCATGGGCATGGGCATGGGCATGGGCATGGGCATGGGCATGGGCATGGGCATGGGCATGGGCATGGCTATGGGCATGGGCATGGGCATGGGCATGGGCATGGGCATGGGCATGGGCATGGGCATGGGCATGGGCATGGGCATGGGCATGGGCATGGGCATGGGCATGGGCATGGGCATGGGCATGGGCATGGGCATGGGCATGGGCATGGGCTTGGGCATGGGCATGGGCATGGGTGTGGGCATGGGCATGGGCATGGGCATGGGCATGGGCATGGGCATGGGCATGGGCATGGGCATGGGTGTGGGCGTGGGCATGGGCATGGGCATGGGTGTGGGCATGGGTGTGGGCATGGGCATGGGCATGGGCATGGGCATGGGCATGGGCATGGGCATGGGCATGGGTGTGGGCATGGCCCAAGAACGATTTATTTTTGTCAAGCGGCGCTCTTCCCTTTGTCCTGTTCGTGTCTTCTTCCCCACTCCCGCTTCCATATGATGTGTTGCTCTTCTCTGCACTGTCACCCCCATCACCCCCATCACCCCCATCACCCACATCACCCCCATCACCCCCATCACCCCCATCACCCCCATCATCACCCCCATCATCCCCATCACCCCCATCACCCCCATCACCCTCCCCATCACCCCCATCACCCCCATCACCCTCCCCATCACCCTCCCCATCACCCCCATCATGTTGACTGCAACTTGAGAAGTAGTTGCAGGTTCAGAGGCTTGTGGTTCAGAGGCTTGTGGTTCTTCACCTGCCATCAAATTTGTTTCTCGAATTTTCTCCTCCCCTCCCCCATTTTTCGCACTTCTCATGTCTTTCCTCCCCATTCTATCTTCTCAGTTCTGCTCTGCGTTGCTGTGTTGTGACCTGCTGTTCTCTTCTCATCCCCTGTTGGGAGCAGATAGAGAAGGAGCTTCAGTATCAGAGCGCTTTGGAGCTCAACCTAACCACGTTCCGAGCCATCAGCCACATTCCCCTCGCCTCTGTATGGATTCCGTTTGCATTCTCTTTACCTTACTTCCTCTTTTGCTGCGTGCACCTAAAGCTGTTTCAATGCAATCCAATCGCATTCTGTACGCTCAGCTGTAGATCAGCCAGCCACACTCAGCTGTAATTCAGCCAGCCACACTCAGCTGTAGATCAGCCAGCCACACTCAGCTGTAGATCAGCCAGCCACACTCAGCTTACCATCGGTCAGTCACATGGTATCAGCCCTTTCCACGTGTCTCGATGTGTCTTTGCTTCTGTTCTACTTACTCTCTCCTTGCCTATCCGTTTTCCATCCACCAAAGCACAAATTTCCGTGATATCAGCCCTCTCCCCTCCGCATTCGCCTTCCCCTCTCCCCACTCGCCCACCCATTCCCTCGCTTCCTTTTTCTGTGGCTCTCTTCGTCGTCACCTCTCTCCACGCTTCTTCCCGGCAGGACATAGCCAAGTGCGCGCGGCAGAACATGGTGACTCGCCCCGACAGCTACTAGCGGAAAGAAGACCCTGCTCTCTCCCTCCTCCCGTCTCTCGGCCACTTCTCTCCCGCTTCCCCTATATCCCCGTCTGTCCCCCCCTTCCTCGGCAGGACATAGCCAAGTATGCGCGGCAGAACATGGTGACTCGCCTCGACAGTTACCAGCAGAAGGACCCTGCTACGTTCAAGGAGGTACTGGATTCATTGCATCAAGCCTCGCCTTGCGTGCCTTGTCTTGCGTGCCTTGTCTTGCGTGCCTTGTCTTGCGTGCCTTGTCTTGCGTGCCCCATCTTGCATGCCTCGTCTTACGTGCCTCGTCCTGCCCTGTCGTGCCCTGTCTTGCCCCCTCTATCTCAAAGCGTTGATGCCCCATCATCTATCCCATGACCCAACCGTCCCTGATTTCGACCTTCAAGTTATTGCCATCATTGGGACCCATATACCTTACACATGCACCCAGCCTCAACCATCCTCACCCATCCACACCCATCTCCCTGCAGGTGATTGCAGTGATCGACTCGCAGGTCATTCCCATCACTGCGACCCGTATGCCCTTACGCATGCACCCATTCTCACCTATCCGCACCCATCCTTCTTCAGGTCATCGCAGTGATAGACTCGCAGGTCATCCCCATCATCCGCCGCTCCGCCCTCTCAGGCTTTGCCATCTTCAACACCGAGCTCCCGGTCTTCTTCGACCGCCCAGGTATGTTACCTCTTATTCATCCCCCCCCGAGGCACCTGGTTATGAGGCGCGTCATCAAGAATGGACGCTCTCAGGCTTTGCCATTTTCAACATAAAGCTTCCGGTTTTCTTCAACCCCCCAGGTATGCCGCCCATTGGTTGCATAATGTTCTCTGTACCAAACGCTTGGACCAGAAAGATATGGTGCCTCCTCTTCATCTCTCCTCAAGGCGCCTCAAGAGTTGGCTCAGGTTTCACCGTCTTTTCTTCCTATCCTGATTGCACTGCACGTGCATCTTGGATAATCAGTTCCTACAGTAACATAAATAGATAAAAATGCGTACATTGATTGCATCTTCTCGCGTTCCTTCCTATGCATGTTCCCTCCTCCCCCACTCGGCTCCTCTCCTCGTGCCCGCAACCCACAGGAGCACCTCAAATGCTGGCGGATATTCTAGCAGAGCGTGGCTACTTTGTGTACTGGCAGGTGCGGTTGTGGGGAGGGTGATGGGTGGCGGGCGATATGACGCGGGTGGTGTGGGGTGGGTGGTGAGGGCCGGGGTGTGTGTGACAGGTGATGTGTGGCGGATGTGGGCGGGTGCATGTGTGTATCAGCAAATTACATGTAGCAGGAGCAGGTACCAGGGAGCATGTCTAGCAGAACTACTTTGTGTACTGGCAAGTGTGGGGATGAGCATTTTCCCTCTTCCCCCTCCCTTTCCCCACCAGACGCGCATTCGAGAGGTCCCAGTGCGAATCGACCCAGTCACCTTCGCCATAGAGTGTCTGCGCCGCACCACCATGGAGCTCCCCCTTCCCCCGTGCTTCCTTCCCCTCCCTCTTCCCCCACCCTCTTCCCTCCACATCAGACGCGCATTCGTGAAGTCCCAGTGTGCATAGACCCATCCACCTTTGCCATAGAGTGTCTGCGCCGCACCACCATGGAGTTCCGCATCAAGTCCTTCCCTTCCCCCCCTTTCCCTCCTCAGACGCGCATTCGGGAGGTGCCAGTCCGGATCGACCCATCCACCTTTGCCATAGAGTGTCTGTGCCGCACCACCATGGAGTTCCGCATCAAGTCCTTCCCTTCCCCCTCTCCCTTCCCCCCTTTTCCCTCCTCAGACGCGCATTCGGGAGGTGCCAGTGCGCATAGACCCATCCACCTTCGCCATCGAGTGTCTGCGCCGCACCACCATGGAGTTCCGCATCAAGTTCGACCGCCCGCTCATCCGCTCCTCCGACTCCCTCTCCTCCCTCTCCGCCTCCTCCTCCTTCCTCACTGCCACCGCCGCCAAAGCCTCTGCCTCCGCCTCCTCCCCCTCCTACTCCTCCTCTCACTCGCTGCTCACGCTGCAATCAGCCACGTTCCAACCACCGCCAGAGACTAAGGCAAGCGCCATGTGCCCTTCGTTCCCTGGGGGGAATCCGCCCTGCTTTGTGCCGGATAAGGAGTTGAACGGAGGGAGCTCGGAAGAGGATGGGTCGGGTGCGGTGGGTGGGTGTGGGAGTGGTGCGAGCTGTGGCAGTGGTGGTGGGAGTGGCAGCAGCAGTGGCAGTGTCAGTAGCGGGGGCAGTAGCAGTGGCAGTAGCGGTGGCAGTAGCGGTGGCAGTGGCAGCGGTTGTGGCAGCCGCGGTGGGTGTGGAGGGGCCGGCAAGGTGGTGAGAGTGCCGGGGCTGGCAGGGGGTGCGATTTCTCGGCCTGAGGGGTGCCCGCCTCTGCCTCCTTGGGTTCCCACTGGGGAGAAGAGGAGGTGACAGTCAAGATGAGGGGTGATGCAGAGCGATGTGACAGTGCGGGGTGTACGAGTGTGAGTAACTCACATGTTTGTAACATTATACATTACTGGTGGATTGTGGTACTCTGTATGTTAAAATCTGTGCTGTGCCATGCTTGACTGAATCCTGGCTGTGTTGCTAAACCTTCAGTGCAATTCCCAGAAACTAGAAGAGTAAGTGAGCAGCCTAGGAACCTGGAAAGTCATTAATACGGTAGATGTGTAACGGTAATACGGTTCCCTGTGCTGATATAACCAAGGATCCAGTAGATAGGATAGAATCTGTTAAGTCTGAGAGGAGACAATGAAGTCTCTGTAGTGACCTTGTTGAATAATAATTGAAAGAGAACAAGATGATTGAAAGATAGGAGTACAAGAGATTAAATAGAAATCTAGCTAGCCATGTACTCTGAGGGGTACATTCCCTTATTAACTGTATTGCATAGCTACAGTAACCGTGACTATTGCTATCCTCGACAGTTACCATGTTGCAGTGAATTAACTGTCGTGCGGTTACTGGATCGTCAAGGGTCACGACCGTTGACTTCTGTCAGAGGTCCACTGGTGATCCCCGATTGATCCTAGGGAAGGGTTACAGGCACGTTGGCCTGGGGGGTTATGCGCCACTGACCCGCTACTTAAACAAGCCCTTTTATCCCAATGGTCTAGTGGTTGGGATTCTGACATGGTATCAGAGCGAAGGTCTCGGGTTCGAATCCCGGTGTATGCACTTCGGGCATCCCAGTGCGGGGGGGTGTCAGAGGTGCACTGGTGATTCCCGATTGATCCTAGGGAAGGGTTACAGGCACGTTGGCCTGGGGGGTTATGGGCGCACTGACCCGCTACTTAAACAAGCCATTTTATCCCAATGGTCTAGTGGTTGGGATTCTGACAACTTCCTCAGACGGTTGACCTTCGGGTGACCCTCGACATTCCGCATGCTCTATATGAGCTATTGCGGTACTGGTACAGTGGAACAGCTTCGGGAATGCTTTATATAACCTTTCGGTTATTCCAACACTCCCCTTCATTCCTGAAGGTGGGCCACGTGGGATTTCTTGGTGATCCCACAGAGGTCGGCGCAGCGTTGGTACTGCTGACGTGGCAGCTTCTTTGTCAAGAAATCAGCTGCCATGTCACCGGTCGGGCAGTACGTCAGCTTGACTTTCATCCTTCACGAAGAAGTAGCGAAGGGCGATGTGCTTGGTGCGGTTGACGAAGCCGGGCTTGTTCGCGATCTTTATCGCGCTCTGATTGTCGCAGAGTAACGTGAAGTGCCCGTTCATCGTCACTTTCGCTTCTTGCAGGAGCTCCACCAGGTACAGTCCTTCGCGAACAGCTGCGCTAGCTGCGATGAATTCTGCTTCTGCTGACGAGAGAGCGATAAGTTCCTGCTTCTGAGAGTTCCAGGAGATGAGTCCGGCAGGTTGGAGTTGAAAAATGAATCCTGTGCGGGAGCGTCTGTTGTCAACATCTCCAGCGTGGTCGGCATCTACGTAGCCATGGAGCTGTAGAGTAGCGGTGAGGTTAGCTTCGTAGGTGAGACCGACGTCGGGAGTGGAGATGAAGTACTGTAGTGCTCGGCGTAGATCCAGTAGATTCTCCCCTTCAGGTCGCTTCAGGTACTGTGCGAGCTAGCTTGCGACGTAGGAGAGATCGGGCCGGCACGTGACGGCGGCGAACAGGAGACATCCCAGCTGCTGCTGATAGAGACGATGGTTGTCGGGAGAGAGCGGTGTGGTGTCTGGCTCGTGGTTAGGAGGAGGAGTGCGATAGTGGGTAGTGAGGTTGATTGGTGCGATGGAGAAGCGCTTCGCGAGTGTTTCAGCGTACTTGGCGGCGGAGAGGTGAATGGAGGAGGCGGACTGAGTCACATTGAGGCCGAGAAACTGGGTGACGTTGTGGTTGATTGTCACCTCCAGTTTCTCTTTGATGTCAGCCTCAAACTGGTCCAGCAGCTCCGTGTCGTCGCCGGTGTAGAGAAGGTCGTCGACGTAGGCGACGAGGAGTACGAATTTCCCGCGCGATTCCTGCCTGTACATTCCGAGGTCGTGCGGCAGCTGAGTGAAGCCGAGCTCAAGGAGGACAGAATGGAGGTACTGCTGCCATAGACGAGGCGCCTGCTTGATTCCGTAGAGGGATTTTTGGAGGAGGCACACAGCGCCATCATTTTCTTCGAATGCGTGCGGCTGCTCGACGAAAATGATGGCATCGACGGGAGCGTAGAGGAAGGCGTTGCCGACGTCGATTTGCCGGAGCGGTCGCTGTTTGACGGCGGCGATGCATATGAGAATGCGTACCGAGGTGTGGCGGCCGACTGGAGCGTAGGTGAGAGTGAAATCCACCAGGTGTGTTTGCTCAAATCCCCGCACTACCCAACGCGCCTTGTACTTGTCGACCGAGCCGTCTGCGAGAGTTTTGATACGAAAAACCCATTTGCCGCTGAGAATTTTTCTCCCCTTTGCCGATGACCGAGGGACCAACTTCCAGGTGCCACGTTTCTTCAGCGATGCGATTTCGGCGGCCATGGCTGCTTTCCATTTTCCACTGTCGGGGCCAGATAGGGCTTGGCAGACGGTGGTTGGTTCCTTGGGCGAGGTGCAGCGAACAGCGACGGCGAGGCCGAGAACGCGGAGACCGGTTTCGTCAGTCTTTTCGTAGTGAAGTCGGTCATAGTCGTGGAAGCTGGTAACTTCGACCACGTCGTCATCGCTGTCGTTGCCGAGGCGGAGGGTATCCTGCGACATGTTGGGTTGTGGTAACTCGGCATCAGGTGATCGGCGCGCCTCACTGTTGTAGTCATGAGCCGCGCGAGTTGTATCGTTAGGATCGGGTTGGTGTAGAGGTACGAATATCGGAGTCCCGAATTGGCTTATGAGGGGGATGCTCGGAGCGGAGTCCATTGGGGTGACATCAGGTGCGTCTGCATCCTCGGCCAGGTCAGCTTCGTCGTGTGACGTGGCGAAGCTGCAGTGGCCCTCGAAGAGCCTCTCGGGAAGTTTGTCGGCTTCCTGGTGCTCCTTAAAAAGGGGCAGAGTCAGCTTCTCGTAGAAGATGCAGTCACGTGATTTCGTCACCTCGTGTGTCGCGTAGTCCAGCACGATCCACGCCTTGAATTCCTTCTCGATCCCGAGGTGGATGCCCCATCGTGCCCGGTCAGCAAATTTTCCGGTTCTCGCAGTGTGGGGTCTGTACTGTACCATGCAGCCAAACACCCGAAGCAGGCGTGTATCTGCTTTTCTGCCCGTCCATGCCCGGTAGGGAGAGTTGTTGTTCTCGAGGCTTCGCGAGGACAGCAAGTTGTGCAGCCGAACAGCGTGATTCATCGCAAACGGCCAATATTTTGTTGGGATGGCCGACTGCTTCATCAGAGCCCTCATCCGCGTGGCGAGGCTTCTGTTTGTCCGTTCTGCTACTCCTTGCTGTTGGTGAGCGTAGGGCAGGGACACCAGGTGTTCAATCCCCTTCTGCTTGAGGAGCTCCTTGAACTCGTCTGAGAAGAACTCCAGGGCTCCGTCCGTCTGCCAGGTTTTGAGTTTGAGACCGGACTGTCGCTCAGCCCGCTTCATCCACGCAATGAAGCACTCGAAGGCCAGAGACCTGCTGTCGGTGTTGACGGCCCAGACGTAGCGAGTAGATGCGTCGATGAAGGTAAGTGTGTACTGCTCCCCGTCGAGCCCCTCCTGGCTGAGCACCATAAAGTCGCTGTAAACCTTGTCCAGCGGCTTGTAGCGTTCATACCCTGGGGGCAAATCGGGGAACGGCTGGTGATTGAGCGACGCGGTTGGGCAGACGATGCATGGCGGGTTAGGTGAGTCCGCGGTGAGGGAACCGTTTCGAGGAAGGAGGAGCGCGTCGTTGTCGAAGACTCCGGCCTTGAGCGAGTTTTTGAGCGTGGCGTGGGAGGGATGGCCGAGCCGTTGGTGCCATGTTTCTGGGTCCGCACGGTAACCGACTGTCTTTTGATAATATTTTTGTCACGCTGCTTCGTCGTTTGCCTCCCCTTCAGGTCCTGCGTCGGTGGCGGAGTCGGTGTCGGCGGCGAGCGCGCGAATTGCTTTTCGCTCCAGAAGCACGCGGGGAATGTCGATGATGTCGTCGGTGTCGCCGGCTTCGACTTGGTCTCCGGTAACGAGCATGCATTGGTTGGGCCATTCCCGAACTGGGAGTCCCTTCACGGGGATTCTGAAGTAACTGTATTCAGCGCCGATGACCTCAATTTCTCGTGGTCCTTGTACTGGCGGCTCCGGCTCCTCGGTAGGTTCGGGTAACTCTGTTGGTTCTCCCATAAATTCGTAGGCTTGTTCATCTTCTGACTCTTCTGCCATTTGCTCGGGTGTGTCAGGGGCGTATTGATCTGGGAGAGGTGGACCTCCCCAGCAGGTGCCGCGAGTTGCCCAGTATGGGTCGACGACGGCAACTTCCGCAGGAGGGAAACCTGCTGCTTCCGCGTGCCCTTGTTCTGCTTCGGCCGTGGTGTCCCATCCTCCTCTGGCGCCCCATGTGTCTTCAGCGGTCTCTGCTTCTCCAACTGCTTCTCCTGCTGTTACGCCAACTTCCTCTTCTGGAGCTGCGCCCCACCCACTTGCGGCTGCTTCTTCTGGAGTTAGTACTTCTCCCCAGGATCCGAGCGCGGGCTCGGAAGTGTTCCAGCCCGGCCATTGTGTCTCCGCTGTCTTGTTTTCCTCGGTTGGTTGAGTTGCAGGTCCTGACGTGCCGCTGTCTTCTTCCATTGTGGCAGGTCCGGTTTCTGCAGGGTTGGAGGTCGAGGCAGTCGGGACAGTGCGCAAGCGTAGAAGGCCGTCGGAGGCTGGTCGCTCGAGGTCCATCTCGTCGGGATGTGACCATGTTGGTGGCTCCGTGGGAGTTGTTTTCAGTAGCAGTGTGTGGTGGGAGTCGCCGGTGGTGCCCTGAGCCGAAAATTGCAGCACGAAGACTCCATCATCATCGATCGCCTTTCCGATGTAAGTTTCGTTGTGG